GCGATTTAGAGTAATTTCAAGTATTTTCATCATTTTCTGTTAACCCATTACTTCATATACACGCCTTTTAACGCCTTTTTCACCCCCCCCTTTTTTGTTGTCTCAAATGGTGAAAAAATGCATTATTTAGGCCCTTAACACTTGTTTTTGTTTGAGAAATGTTGTTAAAAAAAGTGACCACTTTTTCGGCGCGGCCCCCCAACCAAAAGATACATCAGGGGGTTGCCAGAAGGGGGATGTGCCCCCTTCTGTTTGGGGGGTTTGAAGGGGGGCGGAGTCCCCCTCATCGCCAAGAAAATTTTGGACTTGTGAGAGGCTATAAATGACCCAAGATTGATCATACGGTAACGTGTAACCAACGCTGAAAAGCATTTGACTCTATCTCAATCCATTGAGAAGATGCAGCACTTTGAAATCAATTATAATGGAAAAAATCAACGCAAAATAGTGATTTTTGGCAATTTTGAGATGTCCCCACGTTGCCATGGTGACAGAAAATTTAAGCCTGAGCATGTTGTTGCAAGGGCAATGGTCCAGTCAACATTTGTGCCAAGTTTGATTAGTGTTGAAGGAGTTTTTATAGTATTATAGCAATTTGAACTTGTAACGGGAGACTTTTCAATGAAAACAGCCATTTTTCACAAAATGCTCATGAAGTAATGGGTTAATGAAAAAAATAAAAAAATCTACAAAACAACAATTTTTCTTCAAATTTATATGACAGGCCATGTTTAAACATGGAAAAACGCGATTTAGAGTAATTTCAAGTATTTTCATCATTTTCTGTTAACCCATTACTTCATATACACGCCTTTTAACGCCTTTTTCACCCCCCCTTTTTTGTTGTCTCAAATGGTGAAAAAATGCATTATTTAGGCCCTTAACACTTGTTTTTGTTTGAGAAATGTTGTTAAAAAAAGTGACCACTTTTTCGGCGCGGCCCCCCAACCAAAAGATACATCAGGGGGTTGCCAGAAGGGGGATGTGCCCCCTTCTGTTTGGGGGGTTTGAAGGGGGGCGGAGTCCCCCTCATCGCCAAGAAAATTTTGGACTTGTGAGAGGCTATAAATGACCCCAGATTGATCATACGGTAACGTGTAACCAACGCTGAAAAGCATTTGACTCTATCTCAATCCATTGAGAAGTTGCAGCACTTTGAAATCAATTATAATGGAAAAAATCAACGCAAAATAGTGATTTTTGGCAATTTTGAGATGTCCCCTCGTTGCCATGGTAACAGAAAATTTAAGCCTGAGCATGTTGTTGCAAGGGCAATGGTCCAGTCAACATTTGTGCCAAGTTTGATTAGTGTTGAAGCAGTTTTTATAGTATTATAGCAATTTGAACTTGTAACGGGAGACTTTTCAATGAAAACAGCCATTTTTCACAAAATGCTCATGAAGTAATGGGTTAAGGGAGTATTTAATGGAAAGGAAATCAGCTTGGTAACAGGTGATGACATGTTGTTTGTTTTTTTTAGGCTATATAACTAATAGTAACACATGTGGAAAGTATATATGCTTTACATCATTTTAGACTTTTAAATCATATAAACAAATTTCTAAATGTGTAACTGAGCAGTCTAGTTTGTTACAAACTCAGTGTTTAAATTCTATTAAATGCTCTCTCACCATAAGGGTGCAAAATTACATTCTGTATTCAATACCGGGATGAAATAATGTAACTCTTCTTTTATCATGACAAGATGACATGCATACAAAGGGGTTCAAAATGTTGGTCAATATATCTGTAATAATATCCATTGTTCATATACTGTAAGATTTTACATTTTTGGTACATTTCATGAAATTTCAAAAATTTACAGAAGGAATTCCTTTATTCAACTTTAACCTCCTGAATTTCTTTAATGGACTTGTCCATCTTTCATTATTGGAACCATCAATTTCAGTTCTGTAGAGTAAGATTAAAAATTTTGGGAGTGTTTTAGAAATGATATAAAAAAAAATAAACCTTTCATGTTGTAAGAAATAAAGATTGCTGAAAAAAGTGTGTACTTTCACTCATTTTTCATCTTTCTTTTTTTTTTAAATATTTTGAACTAAACAGACTGAGTATAAGTCATTTCATATAACATAGCTATCAGTTGTTCTAAAGTTTTCTTTTTTCATAATCTGCTACTCATTAACAGACTCATAAGTTGAAAAGAATAATATAAGTAACTTAATTATTAAAGTTGATCTGTGAGTTTACAGAAAGGAAAATGACAAAAATCTCAGAACACCAGCATATATGATAGAAATTGTCCAATATTAATAAATTCTTCAGTTTTTCATCAAATCTTTCAACTTCAGTTTATTGCCAGATTTTACAAGTTAAGTTTATCACCCAGTTAAGTTTATCACCAGATTTTACAAGTTAAGTTTATCACCAGATTTTACATGTTAAGTTTATCACCAGATTTTACAAGTTAAGATTATCACTGGATCTTCTAATACAGATGATTAGCACTAAATCAATGAAAGATCAACAACGGCAGCTTTTAATGTACTGAAAACAATTCTTTAAACATCTCCTTATTCCCCAAAACAACAAAATTAAATGTTTTGTGAACCGATAAATCATTATCTTATTTAAGAACTGAACAAAACGGCACTAATGGGTAATTTAGTAATCAAGAAAATTACAGTCTGTCTTTAACAGAAAAGAAGACAAAATGGCAACAGGGAATTATGATATCCTATAATAAAATTAATGCATACTGGGGTTTTTTTTGTGCAAATTTTTTGGGTTTTTTCCTTTTGGAAGACAAAACAGATATCACAATACGGTCTATGACCATATTTGGTAAAACTGATAAATTGAGTATAATTTAATTTCTTCTTTAATTTTTCAATATGCCATATAACTATGCTCTGGGCATTGTAGCTTCTGAGGATAAGATGTGCAAAGATTTAATTTCAAAAGACTAATTTTAGCTAATGTGACCTAATTATGTATCAGACGGGAACAATTTATTTAACTTTTGTAAATGGCAACTGGAGGACCAATTCTATGAACTTTGTTCAATATCTACCATGAAGTAAAAGAGGTGGGGATAATGAAGCACAGCAGACCACCAACAAAAAACATCATACTGTCTCAAAAATACAGGTCTTTTTTAGCACTTTGTGCTTGGATGAGCTAAATAAACCTAACCACATGAACCTATCTTTATCAGTACCAGACTCTTCTTTTCAATGGCTTATATTAAGATTAGGACTGTAATTTCTCATTGATAATAGATGTATAAAATTTTACCAAATTGTCTTCAGCCACATAAAGAGAGTCCCAATTAACAGTGTCTAGCTTTCTACAGAAGGATATGCACTTGCTGCATAATGAGGATAAAATGAGCCGCGTCACAACAAAACCAACATAGTGCGTTTGAGACCAGCATGGATCCAGACCAGCCTGCGCATCCGCGCAGTCTGATCAGGATCCATGCTGTTTGCTTACCAACTCTATTACAAGTAGAGAAACTGATAGCGAACAGCATGGATCTTGATCAGACTGCGCGGATGCGCAAGCTGGTCTGGATCCATGCTGGTTGCAAACGCACTAATATGTTGGTTTTGTCATGACGCGGCTCAAATATTAAATCCTGGTTGATGTAAAATGCTAGAAAAATTTTTATTTGTAATTTAATTTATTTACGACTGATGTTTCTAGGAGACATTTGTTTTCTTCTATTTTTAGTACTGAAGAATTGGTAACAATTCCTGGATACCTATATTAATAAAGCATCCTAAACAGGAACATTTCCTCTTGAAACAATTTCAGCCAATAATATCTGTGCACTTAAAGGAAGCCCCAGCTTACCACACATTCACAAGATAGCAGCTTTACTTCATTAAATACTGAACTATCTTTTCATGATCTTCTTCATAATCTTAGAATTGTTACTGAAGCCTATCAAAAACCATTTTTCATTACGTTAATTCTCAATTCTTTCTTAAAGACATCAGTATAATTATATCAATCTCTTCAAATGTTTTATGCATGAAGTTTGCCCAAATCTTTCTATAATACTATTCAGAATATGCAATTACCCTATGGTATTGCCAATAAGATATTATCAATGTCAAAACATTCTTGGTGGCATGTTTTCTCAGTATCCAAATGTTGGATCAAAGAGAAATATGTATCCATACTACTGGTAAAAGTTATATAATTTTAAAAGGATCTCATACAAATTCAACCCTTATATTGAACATGTATAAATATAAAACAAAGTTTTTAAGTTATCTCACAAGTAATTTACTTTGTATGAGTGTGCACAACCGTAAATGCATAAAATGTTCAATGTTCCAAATTTTATCCCGATATCTTCAAACCCCAAATGTATTTAAAGCTTCTTGACTATGTCTCATTTTGAAAGGGTAAAAAAAATCAAGAAAAATAGTGAGTTTACTCCAAGTTTCAAATACTGGTGAAGTCTGCCCATTTAGCTTAATAGGGACAGCAACTGATTTATAATCAAATTGTCCCAGGTTCAATCTTTGGCAGCGAGGCAAAATTTCTCCATTACAATTTATTGCAGACATCGAGTATAATGGTCAATACTGATTTTACTTCCAGTTTCAAATACTGTTGAAGTCTGCCTGTTTAGGTACAGCAACTGATTTATAATCAAAATCAAAGTGTCGCTGGTTCAATCCTCTGGTAAGGCAAAATTTCTCCATTACAATTTATTGCAGACATTGAGTATAATGATCATTTCATCATCACAGTGCAGTTATAGGATAAGTCCTTTGAAATTTAATTGGACTTAATCAGTTATTGCACTAACGTGATCATTTGTCATTCATTAGTGATTCAGAAATTATGTGAAATAAGTAGTCGGTCACATACTGGTTAGTTATCCAGAGAAGCTGATGTGATATGACCAAAAATGTGATGAAACTGGCATCAAAACCAAACTAACAAATACTAGTAGCAAACTGATGTTTAGTAAAGTAAAGTAATGATATTTGTTATGATAACGAAAGCCTTCAACTTACAAGAACTGGACATTGGTGTTTTTACTGTCATAACTGCGGCTGGACCTTCACCTTCTCCATTCATAGCAGAAACTCTAACCTCGTACCGAGAATTTGTAGACAGATGACCAAATATCCAAGATGTTTTTTCCGGGGTAACGTCTGAACTTATAACATGATCTTCACTATCCAATGGATAAAGAGACAGACGATAGTTTATCAGGGGGCCATTTGAATACACTGGCGGCACCCAAGATACCGATACTGTTGACGATGACGGGGCATGGAGGGATGTAATTCTTGGAGAACCAGATGGCACTGTAAATATTGATAAGAACAGTTTATGAAATACGACCAGTCTACTTGATTAATTCAATAGGGGAAATATCATTTATTATCCAAAGGTTCCTGGTTTGAACCTCCGGCAAGAGCAATATTCTCCGTGACATTTGTTCTCCAAATATAAGTCTTTTGGTGGTGCATAAAAAGCGAGCAAAAAAACAAATTAAAATAAAACCAACATGAATATTCTCATATTTTTGTCTTTCCTTAATTGGCAACATAGATGAACAACCTCTCTCAATAGAGACTGAATGTCAACTATAGTTTGGTAATTATGTTTTCTATATATCATTATAAAACTCTCAAATATCAAATATCGCATGCAGACACTTGTTTAGCTTCAATATCATTGAATTTTACAAGAGACACCAATACAATTCAGCCTGATTGGCAAGTTTGTTAACAAAATGAATCCGACTTTTGATATTTCTACACTTGCAACATTTAAATTTTCAGTGCTAACACAGCAACTTTAAATATATTTAATCAATTTATTTGAAACTCGTCCAAGATAACTTCCTCACTTTTGAAGAGTATTGTTTACTTACCTCCATAGGGGAGAGTAGTTACAGGAACTGAATAGTTGGTCTCAACAGCATGTGTAGTTGTTATTTGGAATATAAACTTGAACTGAAATAAAATAAAATACAAATTGTGTAAATTTTAATCTAAAATCAAAATTAATTTGTTTTAACATTTCTAAAAAAATTCATTGATAGTTATGTTCCTGAGCGATCTTGGCCTGTACTAAATTAATGAAAAACAGGTAGCATTTATCTGATGAAATAGCATAATCATGACATATATTGGGCATAGTAACTTGACTTGTAACATATAAATGCTGACAAGTAACATTTACTTATAGTAACTTGACTTGTAACATATAAATGCTGACAAGTAACATTTACTTATAGTAACTTGACTTGTAACATATAAATGCTGACATGTAACATTTACTTATAGTAACTTGACTTGTAACATATAAATGCTGACAAGTAACATTTACTTATAGTAACTTGACTTGTAACATATAAATGCTGACAAGTAACATTTACTTATAGTAACTTGACTTGTAACATATAAATGCTGACAAGTAACATTTACTTATAGTAACTTGACTTGTAACATATAAATGCTGACAAGTAACATTTACTTATAGTAACTTGACTTGTAACATATAAATGCTGACAAGTAACATTTACTTATAGTAACTTGACTTGTAACATATAAATGCTGACAAGTAACATTTACTTACTGTAATTACTCACCTATAACGTGGTTTGCTTATAAGACGCGGCTTCAAATCAGCATTACTTTCAAACTTGACTTGTAACATATAAATGCTGACATGTAACATTTACTTATAGTAACTTGACTTGTAACATATAAATGCTGACATGTAACATTTACTTACTGTAATGACTCATCTATAAGGTGGTTTGCTTATAAGACGCGGGTCAAAATTTTGCCTTCAAATCAGCAGTACTTTCAATCTCTTATGAGATTAGGCATAATTATTGGAGGGAAAAATAGTATTATGTACCTGATATGTAACAAATGGATGTAAACTGGTAACATTGACTCTCCCTGAGGGCATTAACTCCATATCCGAGTGACTCTGCCATTCTGTTTCAGTTTCTAACACTCTTTTTTGTAAAATAAATGTGATATTCCTTAAAAGCTCTTCATCAGCCCAAAACAGCTGTGCCAAAGTCGGGTCTGTGTTTTGCTTAAGCACACTTTCTCCTGCCCAGTCTAATAATACTGAATTGTGGGTAATTCCATCCCTCACTATTTCCGGTCCAGGTAATTCAAGTCCAGAATCTGATAATGTTAAAGAACATTGTTTTACGTCAATAGGAACTTAGTCAATATTTAACAGTTGTTATGTTTTTATGAAATATGACATACTTCTTCATTTTTATTAGTTTTTTTAAGTTCTACTATGAATACCTTCTCTGCAATCTGCAATGCAAGCAAATAAGCTAAAAATGTGTAATTTTGAGATGAACTGGTATACATTTGTGATGTGGTGGTAAGGCTGAACACCAGGTGCAATAACTACTGAAACATTAACTTGCTCCAGATTATTTAAAAAGCCCTTTGTCATCATATTAAATCAATAAATACATAATGTAGACTTACATGTTACAAATTGTTTATGATATTCTTCAAGACCAAAATTACAGCCCTTTACACAGCTTTGTTTCTGAAACATAAATCAAACACCTTTGATACTGCAACATGTACATGCAGATCTCTTTCAATAAACAAATCCATTTTTCAAGAACAAGATCAACCATAGGTAATAATGTAAAGTAAACAATATTTGGCATTCTTACAAACATACACCATACCATTGTAAGTGTACCCACATGTACCAGTTTTCTAATTTCTACATCCACTTTCTAATTAACAAATATAATTACAGAAATTCTGTAACAAAAAGAGTAATGATTAATTAGATAAATTATGCTTATAATAATTTTCTCAAGATTGTAGCATGGTTAACCCTTAAGGAGACAAAGGTAGAAGAGAGAGTTTCTTGAGAGATACTGTCATTAAGTTTGCTTAATGTGCCGAGGGCAAAGGTACAATACAGTCAACAAAAGTATAAAGTCTAAGTACTGTAGTAGTAGAATGGTTAGAACATGTTTCTGTTAGAGCTCATCCTCCTTACATCCCACCTCCTACCACACAGTTTAGATATAAAAAAAATATATTCAGATCATTCTATAAACACAATGTTGTTGTTTTTCTCTCAATTGTTAGACACCATACAAACTTTAAAGGCCCATTATATGTACCCTAGAAATGCTTTTATTTTTATTTCTCTAAAGATTTTTATTTTTGGTTCAAAAAAATTACTCATTGGCCAATTACTTGAACCTTCTTTTTATTCTGTTGCTTTTTTGGCAAATTAGTACAGTGATAGTGATAAAGTATTTTGTATGGAAGTCAAAATACTACTTTGTTTACATTTTGTTACCTTTACGACAAATTATTTAACATTTAGTGCTACTTTTTTCAGGATACAAGCATATAATGTCTATGAAAGACATAATCTATGAACCCCATCTTAAAACTTGAGAAAGAAGTCCACTACTTAGTAACTCCTATTCCCAGGTTAAATGGGTTTTTTTCAGGAAGTGACTACCAACTTCTCCTCTAACTTATATGTATTGTAGTAAGTGATAAAATTTAATGTTCAAGAGCATAAAACTTTGTCCATTCAATAAATATACAGCCCTGCAAGAAGCAAATGACAAATGGAAACTTTTTTACATAATATAACAGACATCTTCATCATTAATGTGTAGGGACACTTTTCATTTTAATCTTTACTTGACATAATGAAACTTTTAACAACAGTCAACAAACCAGCACATCTTGGCCAAATTTAAATAACAATAAAAATAATAATAAATCAGAAATTATATAAGCAATATTTCCCACAGGAATTAAGTTTTCTAAATCCTATAGTATTGCTAGAATTAATTACAAAACAATTTTTCAAAAATAAAAATCTCTGTACAGTCTTATTAATCCTTAATTTTACAAAATGTCCTCCCTAATTGCAGAATCATGTCATTTAGTTGAACTCACAAAAAAGCAAAGTCAGGAATATTAAGATGAAATAACCTGGGAAAAGTTTTAATTGAACACTTGAAAGATTTAGCAGAAAAACTTTAAGGAATAAGCCACTATTTGTTGTTATTAACTGATTAATCTTCACTCTCAATAAATTCAAGTCATACAGTTGCCCTGCTTAGCAAAGAATTATTCATTACCCATTATTCATAAAAGCATTTTTAAAAATCAAAGTTTTAGCTCTCAATCCAGGGATTTTCTTTGGCTCATTTTATAGCCGTTATTGGGTCATATTCCCAATTGAAAATAGTACATTGTATATTATTTACCCAATCCACAGGAAAAATTTCCTATTGAAAGTTACAAAATAAAAATATTGAATAAAAATTTCTAAAATCTTTGAAAATAAGGGCTTCTTCACTGTAATAGTGCTTAAATGTTTGAAGATGCCATCCTAGACAGTGATTGTTTGCATTCATTTAATCAATGCTAAATATCAGTCATGCTTTTAACAAAACATCGCTAAAATTCCAATTTACATGGGCATGGGTCATTTTCCCAAAATCCTGAAAAAAAATCCCTGCAGTCTGCTAGTATTTATTCAGTGCAGACCTAGATAAGATAGCACGTCCATACTGTCTGATCATGGTCTGCACTGTTCCCTATTCAGTCAGTACTTATTTTAAAATTCTCCTTAAAAATGATAAACAATCTTGTCCAGATTGAAAAATATCAGATACATATAATAGTTATGATGGCTGCCCTTGCTCCAGTGACATAGGCAGGTTTTTATAATGATAGTAAACGTATTTCATGACTACTCCAGACATTAAATGCCAACAGTGTTATAACTTTAAACACTATCTATATTTAACATCATTTATAAATTTATTAAATCAAATTATATAAAATTATAAGGAGAATAATATTATTATATAGAACTGAAATACTTCATATCAACATTCTGTGAATGTCCCTTACCTGTGTCTGTACTGTACTACCAGAGTCTATATGTTCTGTATTAGTCTGTAAGTAACATAGCAAGAAGAAAATGTTACAGATCAATGTATACATAGGACAACATGTCATATAATAACACACAATAGTATTATTATTGACACCAGCAGGTGTGCATGTACACTTAGTATGAATATAAATCAGGTCACCATGTCATGTACATCTATGCATTCTGACCAAACAATACACTATAAGCTGATTCATTTTGGTACTTTAGTTTATACAAACTTTTTGTTGGAAGCTTTAAGTTTATGAAAACATTCTCGAATCAGTTCCTTGAACCAACCATAATTAAGCAATGAATGTCATTTCTTGCTCAAGGAAACAATGGCTTGCCGCTGGCAGGGTTTGAACCTACGCAGTCAGCAATCCTTAGAAATTACTAGTCTGACGTATTAATAACTCAGCCACGCCACTACCATTTATTATGGTACTCTGATGTTGAAATCATATACAGCGACAATACACTGTTGTTGTTGTTATTTTATTGTAAGATTAAAGTTTTTAAACCATTTTTTTAGTACTTTCTGTTGTTGTTTTTAATTTTTTTCTTCCTTCATGTTGTAAAATCCTCTCCTGGGTGAAAGAAATAATTTCAAGGCTTTTTAATCTATGTTTTATTTATTATGTTTTTTGTCACAGCCTTATCCAGTTACCAAACATTGCACTTTTATAATCTTAAAATGTTTCCTATTAATTACTGCCTCATTTCTAGAAAAAGCCACTTAATAAAGAAATTGAATAATCTTTTGCAGACTTTTATCAATTTGTAAGGGGATAAGTAAGTGTAAATGTCTAAACCAATTCCTATAAATTCTACAACAATGCTCCGCCATTGTGTCTAACAATCTCATTCATTTATTGCCTTTGTCTTTTGTGTTCGACTATTACACTCATTTAGATAATAGAGAAGGAGAAAACGGAAGTGACATATTTAATGTTATCTCGCAAAAATTGCTTTATCATCCATATGTTTTGTCTACCAGATACTTCACAAATTCCCAGTAATGCAATGATATACCGCTGTATTCTATTGTACTGAACATACACATAATACTTGCTTGCATGCATGCAACATAAAAGTGCAATCTTTCTTTATCTGTCTTAAAACATTTCTCCCTTGATATACCATTAGTCTCCTTTAACTGTTAGAACCAGAAGTGATTAGCCTTTACCACAAAGTTGTGCAGTCTTACTAGGCTCTATACTAATGGCTGACCAACTTCAAATTTTCATCTTCATAATTGAGCCACGTCACAACAAAACCAACATTTGCGACCAGCATGGATCCAGACCAGCCTGCGTATCCGCGCAGTCTGATCAGGATCTATGCTGTTCGCTATCAGTTTCTCTACTTGTAATAGAGTTGGTAAGCGAACAGCATGGATCCTGATCAGACTGAGCGGATGTGCAGGCTGGTCTGGATCCATGCTGGTCGCAAACACACTATCTTGGTTTTTATGTGACGCAGCTCATATCCCTTAAACTGATGGACAGTTCCAAAAACAGAAGCCGGACGAGTCAATTTGATAAATTTAGCAGGTTAAGTGTCAAACTAATTACTCATTAGAGTACACATCTGAACTTGGATATTTGATATACCAATTAATTAGTACATGTAGTTTAAGGGATTTCAAAATATAAAATATCTGATAACTAAACAGTCTCACGTTAAGTAGGACTAGTCACTATAATATTATAATCATTAAATAATCCTCAAGTTGAAGGTCAAGACTTCTGGTTAACTTGCAGTAATTTTGCTAGATTATGGTTTAGAAAAAAGAGCAACCTGTTTAGATGCATTAAAAAAGTTTTAACAATCATCGAGACAGAGCCACAAAGTCTTAGATTAAACTTGACAATAGACTTATTTCAATTGTTTACAAACAGAAAAAAAAATCTTTCATCTTAGTCCATTATTGCATTGAATACAAATACGATAGCTCTGATGAAGATAATAATGATGCCACAGACATGTATTAACATTGTTATCCGGACTTTGACATTTCATTACCCCTTAAGGGAAATAACTATTGGAATATACTCTTACTAATACTGCATTCTCTTACTCAAGTAAACAGTTGTGGTTTTTGGCTTTCTGATCATAAATTCCAATAACTTCTCTCAGATTTTCAATCTAATTTTGTTTGACCAACCTGACAGGGGATAGGCCCTCTGACTGACAGGAACATTTTATTAATTAACTTGTGTCACTACCAGCCAATAGGTTAGAATTTATCAGGCAAAAGTCAGTCACAAATATTTAATATGCCAGTCAGAAACATAACCCATCCAATAACATGTCATCAGTGGAAGCTCTTTATTTTTTTCAAAATAACACAAAACAATGATTTAGATAGAACTGCATTTTGCATTAATAAATAAAACAGATTAAAAGGAGATACAGGAAAGAGTAATTTTAGAGGTATTATGATTACTATGTTAATCACAAAATCTACAAAAAAAAGTTACACTTTTTTCTAATTAATGCTCACCTCTGTATATAAATCTGTACAAACTGTTGAGCATGGAGTATCTGAAATCGCTTCACCATAGTTAGAACAGCCAACATAGCACTGAAATATTGAAAAAAACATCATTTAAAATAAAAAGCTAATGAAGTATTGTAAAAAGTCTTTTTTAAGTATTTCAGCACCAGTTATTTTCAGCTATATCTTAAAGCAGCACGCCTCCAGATTCATGCTAATTTTCATGAAAATTTTGAAAATGTATTTGAATGTATAAAAATATTGTGAAATAACCAAAAAGAAGCCATTTACACATTTTCAATGGCATTTACAATCCATGTAAATGACCAAAATGTGGTCAAAATATGCATAAATAGCCCTTACTGCGTTAGTAAGGCAGTAGAAATATAGTTGTAAATACTAAAAAATCAGTCATTAACCACACATAACATGTAAAATAATACTTGAATCTTAAACCATTTTATGTTTCCTAAAATCATAGAACATATTTCTCAAGTTTAATTTTATTTAAATATTTTGACCCATCTGGAGGCATGCAGCTTTAACAGAAGGCTTAACCAGATTTTGTTTTTGCATATTGCTGTATAAAAAATGTAGATATACTGCCTCATTTGTATCCCCACCCATTCTGCCTCTACCCTAATCCCAGTATAGACTTAATGACTTTGTGACATGTATCTTCAACCCAGCTGGAAGACAATTTTGTGGTAAACTCCACTAGACATATAAACATATTTCACAGTCTTTTGTCTTTAGTGCAAGCATCAAACCACAGACAAACCATTGACAAAGAAGTATTAACAGCAGAAATGGAAAGTTCAACCAGCAATCTCCTGGATTAGACCCCTAGGTATATTTCAGAAGCAAAACTTGTATATAATACACTACAGAAAACGGAATGAACCTTACATATCAGGCCCGTCGTCACGATTTTGTGATTGGTGCGGCCAACTTTGTTGGTTTGAGCCAGAAACTAGGGGGGTACGGGGGCATGCTCCCCCGGAAATTTTTTTATTCTATGATGCTCTCAGGGGCGTTTTCCCGTATATTTGGCACAGTTTACAGCCTGCCGCTAGTACATGTTATGGTAATATATGTCAACGATTTTTTACATTTTTAAGTGCGCCGTAAGTTTTAAGTGTGCAATTTAAGGTTCTCATAACGGACGGACAGGTGTACAATGAATACAGTGTATGTAATTGATATTTGGCAAATGAAAAATAAACAATAACAGATGTTATAATTCTTTAGATAATTATAAATAAACAAATACAAGAAATATTACAGTACGTGGATTATTGTTTAACATAAATCACACAATGGTATAGGCTTAAATATCAATCGATGACATGATGGAAGAATAGTACATTACGAGTCACTAATAACCACTTTCTGTTTAGCAGTAACTTGTATTTTGTTCACAATAATCTTACACAACACAGAGTTTCATTTTATGTAAATTTTCCAAAAACACATCGCCATCGTTCTCTGGTGGTAATGAACTCATCGGCAATAACACGTTAGTTAAGTGAATCTGTCCTGTACTTATGAATATGTAACACCATTAGATTGTTCAAACGTACTTGAGACATTGTCGATCTCAGGTATGTCTTTCTTCTTCTGAGCGCCAAGAATGTCCTTTCACTTGTAGCATTAGTAGCAGGCATTTCTAACAAAATCTTAAACAACACAACGACCTCAGAGAACAGTGCTCGTTTTAGCACTGACTGTTCTGACACAAATTTCAAAACGTCAGGTAAGGTACCAGTACTATTTTCTGATTAGTCAAAATGTGAACGTAGCAGGTAAGGCCTTAGCTGCACCTCTAAGTTGTCTCGCTTAAAGTCGTTACCATAGGAATTTCAAACAAAACCAAGTTCTCTAGTGTACTCGGTCTTCAAAGGTTGTGCGACCTTAGTACGTAAATCCTCCACGTTCTGAAATACGGGATACCCCGGTTGGTCACACTGGCCATGTCAAGATCGATTGCAGGCCAGAACACGGTTGCCGTATACAATCAATAAAATGTTATCAAGTTCTCGGAGAATTCAGGCAGACTAGTTTAAGATTTTCATAATGCATATTGCAATGTCATGCACTGTTTTTTTAGTTATATCATAATATATATAACATTGATGAAAAAATGTACTCGCAAATGTTCGTTTAGGAAACGAAAATGATATTGGTTGATTTGGTTCTGATGGTATTGTGTCACACATAATGATAGTTTGATATCTTAAGCTTTTCATATAAATATACTTGTATGTGAACTGAAGTAAATTTTTGAGAATTGTGATGTTATATTTTAAATAAACATATAATATATATATACTGTGAACTGTCCGAAGCCACGTCGATGTCAATTAATGCCAATTAAGATAACTTAACACTTGACTTTGTTGGACTCCTACATATACCTGGTCAATTAACAGTGTCCAGTTGTTTCTTCACGTCAAGTTTGTATATTACCGCGCATTGCATAAGGGGCCAGTCAAGTGTCAAATTGCTTATCAGCGATATGCGTGTTTTTTTTTGTTTTGTTTTTTTACTCATTTTTGGCCAAAATATTGGTCCGGCCAGGGCCGGACCGGCCGGACCATCGACGACGGCCTTGCATATACTCCTGGTTTAGACCCCGGGGTCTATTCCAGGATATAGCCTTCAAATAATTGATGCATTACTAAATACAAGTATTCATTTTTAAAAACATGAATCGTGGTTAGCCTGAGAAAACTTTTAAATCTGAGACTGAAATTGTAATTATTTCCTATTTTTTAGGACCTTCATAATAAATATAGGTATTTTTACATTTTGTTCTTTTTCATGTCAACAGCTGGTCAAAGTCGCAGCTTTCTCAGTTTCTGCCGTTTTTTGTCGATGACTCGTCCTTACCAAAGGGACCCGGCACAATGTTTGGATAGTTTAAAAAAAGTAATTCTAGAAAAAAATATATAGTTTATATATAATATATAGACATTACATATAAACTTTATATTTTTTTCTAGAATTACTTTTTTACAATATCCCAATACTGTGCCGGGTCCCTATGGTCCTTACTGTTGTTTAACATACAGTAAGTCGGACTAAGCCCCCTCTTGATATTCAATAATGCTAATCATATTAAAAAATCTTCCGGGAAATGGGGAATTCATGATATTTTTTAACATTTTTACCTTTCAACACTGCAAACCAAAATTACAAATGGCGTATCTAAATTAAAGGGACGTAATCCATTCAAACATACAAGATAATTTAAGACTAACCTGTTCTGTTTGGCAGCCATTATCACAGTAGAGCGTATCTTTTTCTTTTACCTGAAAATTAAATTATGATCTGTGGAAATATTTGTTGAAAAGTCTAAAATAGGAAATTGCCAACAAACAAACAAACAAGCAAGACAAAATAAAACAAAAATAAAACCTGCGACCAAATATCCCAGATTGTCGATCTACTGTTGTATTCACAAATTATGTATTAAAGCTTTTATGATTTTTTATATTAATTTTGTATGTGTGTGGTTTTTTGTTTTATTCTTATTTTTTAATATTTTATTTGTTTAATTTTTATTTATTTATTTATTTATTTATTTATTTATTTATTTATTTATTTATTTATTTAATTATTTATTTATTTTTTAAGTTAAAAGTCTGGATATATACAACCTAATCATATAAGTTTCATTTTGTTTCTCAATGAATTGGTTAGGAGACATAAAACCTTTTTATTGTTAATGTTTATAATGGCATTAGGACTACAAACCTAACTTTAAAACTGTTGCGGTTTGCTGAAGTTTATGCTATTTTGCAAAATACCATCGACTGTTACATACTTGTAAACGTTCTCTACCAATTAGTCATAAATGATGACAATGGGAAAAAGGATGATAAATTTAAATTTGAGACATTTACACTTAAATTATCACACACCCGTGCCGCTTTTGCAACTCCGTAGAAACAGTATTGCACGAACGTGATATATTTTTAGGAGACGTCATTTACGTTATAATTTTCACATAACGTAAAGACGCGCAAAATGTTACCGTTACACTCTATGCGAGTCAATAAAAAATGTTCTTTTTCACTGTTTGAGTATGTGATAAATAGAATATTTTATTCGTGTAGATTCAATACTAAATTTATTGAACGAGTTGAATAAAGTTATGTTATGCGAGCCTCTGTTTGTTTGGACATTTTTACTTTTATTGTCATTCCTACAGCCAACGTAAGGCGCATTCATTTAATTTCAATACATTTAATAATATGGACATAAATTATGATTATTTTGGAACTCTTTCAATTAGATTTAATTTTAAACATTCTCTATCATCACCCGATCATCATCAGTATCATCCTCGTTGTCATCATTATCGTTGTTCTTGACGTATACTCTATCATTGTCGTTGACGTCATCATCATCGTCACCGTCGTCGACGTCATCATCATCGTCATCCGCCTATTCTCATTTAGCTACTTAGAGGTTTCAACTGTACTTCCTAACTTGTGAACTATTTATAACGTTACATTCCAGCATAACATAAAGATTAGGTTTTTGTAATTCATCATTGCGAATACTAGAGCTATGTTCTTTAATATGCTCTTGAAATGTCATGTGCTCTAAATGTATCATGTCTTTAAAAACATGATGAAGCCTTCCTCATTGCTAAACATCATTGTCTTTTTGCTCATTATCCCTGTCCCAATTTTCTATGTTTTCGTTACAAAGATGACCAAATAACATGAAATAGTGTCAAAACAGTTGCCTTCAAAGAGCGTTTGAGGTGTATGTTTTTCTGTTTAGTTCTCTTCTCAACATGTTTCGCTATATAATCGTAACAAAATGGGTTAATATTATTTATTATTTCCGTTCGTACAAATAATTAACGCCATTGTCTATTTCGGCCGAGAATAATAACTACCCTTTATCCGTTATTATAAAGTTAATATTTAGTCAAGAAAACGTGATGCACGCAACCTAGCGAAATAATTGTCATGTTGGCCAATAATTTGACCTCATAATGTCCCGCCATAATAGCATCTCAAGTCTCTCTTTTACCCCGAGGAAGTACCAAATTGCAATATACTTTAATCATTTTGTAAAACAAAACCTTTTTCCCAAATGAGAATATAATGCCCAAAGGGAGCTTCCAAGAACAACATACATATAATTACTCCACGTTATTCGCAGTATAAAAAAGGAACTACAACTTTTGTTTGTTTTAGTTGTATATTTATTTATTTATTTTTGTACTTCCCTATTTACGACATACTGAAACAGAGAGTTCCACAATCTTTTCATGTTATGGCATGTTAAAACTGAGAGCTTTGAAAATTTCACAACCAAAGATGTGGAAAACATCTTTTTATCTGCACATTGTATAATCCAGTGTTGACATTCAATGTCGAGTAAATTGCATGCCAAGTATTGAAATTTACGAATGTCTGGCATAAAACAGGAGTAAATACTACACAGAAACGCTAAATTACAGCTTATCTGGCACCCATATCCCATGTCCTTCAGCGCACGGTACCCCTTCACTGAAGCTCGGAAAGGGTCGAAAATGTTTTACTATTATCTCTTAAACTGATCATGCTATACTTTCTTATACATTGTACTATTTATGCTATGGCATGCAAACTATGGTCTTCAATGAAGTCAGTCACAGACACAAAAAAATCAGTCAGTTTTAAATTTCGCATTTATTAATAGCTAATACAATTTTTTAAAGTAAGAATAATATAATTCCTTTATTTAACATACGGCCAGTGTATCAGCCACTGTAACATAACCTGTTGAATGAGCTCTTGATGCCAAGTAGCCATGTAATTAAGCGAGTTACCGGCAGCTAGATTATTGACACCATACAGATTAAGATTAACCAAGCATACAGGTAATTTCTTTTTCTTTTCTTTTTTTACGACAAAATCAATGTAAAGAAGAAAAGACATGTACATTTATCTTAAATGAGCCGCGTCACGACAAAACCAACGTAATGCGTTTGCGACCAGCATGGATCCAGACCAGCCTGCGCCTCCGCGCAGTCTGATCAAGATCCATGCTGTTCGCTTACAAACCCTATTACAAGTAGAGAAACTAGTAGCGAACAGCATGGATCCTGATCAAACTGCGCGGATGCGCAGGCTGGTCTGGATCCATGCTGGTCGCAAACCCATTATGTTGGTTTGGTCGTGATACGGCTCAAATTAGATTTACGTTGGCGTCATTGACGTCGTTTCCTTGTTATAGTCTATACTAAATATATTGTGAAACTGGTATGACAAATGTACACAATAAAGTTTCTCATTTGAAGACAACTATTCCCATGTATTGTTTACACGCACTGAATTTGAGATTCGTACATGAAGCTGTGATGGTTTTTAGTAGTTTTCACTTCAGATCATAGCAGTAAGCCATCTTGAATTTACATGAGCTCAGTTTAGCCACCGCATCGTTCCAAGGCCGGCTGTCAAGTAGTTTACCAGTACTAGTTCAGTTGCTTTCACATTCGCAAGGAACTGTGGCATCTTATGAGGTTTTAAAGAAATAAAAACAATATAAATAATTGATACACTTAATATCAAGTTTAAAGACAATTTCCATTTAACTGTTAAATTAACATATGAACAGAACAGTGTTCTTTCCAGTAAAAGACGGCCACTAACAAATTGAGAAGTAAGCATGCTAATTTAGATAGGTTTCAAGATTCTAGACATTTTTAAGGATTTTTCTATTCACAAAAAAAAGAAGAAGAAAAGAAATACATAGCAAATAATAGTAATTAATGGTATGCCACAAGTATTCAAAATAGAAGTAGAAGATACAAATACGATGAAAATTTTAAATAATATCTCATCTCAGCTCAACATAGAAAATTGCGTATCGTAGTCTCCTATCTAGGGAATTACTGCTTTTGAATGAAGTAGAGCATGAAAGGAAATGTTCCAGTGGAGGGAGCCACTATTGACATGCAATAGTCTCGGGCAATGCACGTGCAATGTATCATAATACAAATCCTGGAGAATAGTTCTATGTTATACAAAGCTTATGGAAAAAAACCCAAGTCAACCGAAATCTATTTTCCCAAAGCAAATGTGTAATTAGGTTTCTTGAAATCGTGATGACTTGAGTTGTTTTTATTGATAAACAATTAAGGACAGAAAAAAATAATTATTCTATCTAAGAATGCTAGCATGTATACGAGAAGTATTATAATGTAATAACTATAACTAGCTTTTACTCTCGTCTGCTAAAAGAAATAAAAACACCACAAAACTCTGGTTGACGTGATTTACTGGAGAAAGTATTTATGAGGAGCTACAGTTATTCTGTGGTAATTTAATAAAGTATAAACTTAATACCATCTTCGTAATTATTATCCTAATGTGGTAAAAACAGACCATGTTTCAACCCGAAGAGAACCTATTAACTGTTTCATAGAATTATTTCGGATGGTAATAAACACGGCCTGGCAACTGATGAGGTGAAAAATGAGAGAAAAAAAATATATCAGGCAATGTGAATTACAGTGACTTTGTGTTGTCGTATATTATTTGAACTATATGAGTATATATACTAAAATGGCAATATGTGAAAGACCGCCACCAATAAATGTCATCCTGTGTTACCTGACGCATTGTCAGTGTTGAGTATTCAGTTTTGAAGTCCCTTCAATTACAAAAGGAATCAATGGTAAATAAAATATACATCATGTACAAATTTAGCAAGGTCAAGATTCTGTCGGTTTCTTTTCCTATTAATTAATTTTCTATTTAATTAATAACTCAATATATAATTCCCTAGAATGTCTGTTTTTTTTTTTCAATTAACTAATTTTCTATTTAACTAATAAATCAACTTATATTTCCCTAGAATTTTTAAATGATCAGGGTAGGCTTTCTTGGTTCAATCAAATACCAAAAAGAATCACAATATGAAAATTGTCTTTATAAGTTATACGTGAGCATATTATGACGTTATGTACAACGACACCCTAAGAAAAATCGTATTCATTTCTTTTACTCGGTTTTGTCTTTTGATATATTATGTTTTCTAACATCGGAATGTATGCTTTGCAACAAATACATTCTACCTTTACCCCTGTTCAGGAACTATGGTAAAACAAGTGTCATGCAACGTTATATATATACACATCTAGAAGAATTTCGCCCGCTATGATACTCTAATACTCTATCACCCATGTGTTTTACATTACTAGAAATCTTTTCTCTGGTATAAAGTCTGCACGAGAAATCGGCTAAATTCTCCCGTGTTGGTTTCATTTTTCACGCACACCCCAATTTCCTTACTTGAATAGCTG